ACACACACACACACACACACACACACACACACACACACTTTTTTCTAAATGGCAGACATAAACATTATAGGTTGAGTTAGTTTGTTCACTTACTGTTATTATAGAATCTATTCGAACACAAACTGGCTAAAATGTTTCTAAACTGCATCTCATTGCCTGAAAGCACAAAAATCCGCTTAACGTCCCAGCAACTGTAACGTCCCTTCTGTGGTCGGCAGTGCCTACATACCAGCAGCTCTGCCAGGGTAATGGTTTTCAGATGCCTGTCTCTCTGGGCATTCTCCAACACCATTAACACAAGCACTGCCAAAACACAGTTTCATCTAATGAGCCTCCCCTGTGCACCCCCCTGTGATGCATCTCAATGCCTCTTTTTATGCCTCTGCTGTGAGTAAACACATTTCTTTCTGCCCCGTTTAACCCGAAACATATTTGTCTCGGCTCTTCGAAACCACGCGGCACCCTGCGTGTCAGAACTGCGATTCCGGCCAGCGTGGCATCATCACACACTCACTCCGGCTCGGCCACCTCGTAATTACACAGGCATGCAGAAGCTGCCACCTGGTTGTTACACCGTGGCGACGCCCAACAGGCAATTCCTAACTATTTTACATTTTACTAAATTGGTGGGTAAAGACCTGATCACAGGTTAGGGCTAGAAGGGATACAGCTACAGCCACCAGAGCTTACTGGGCATGCGTACATCAATATTGTGTCATTTTTTGTCACACTGAACAACAATTACTGTATTTGCATTATTGTAAGGGGTAGGTTTAGGGTTGGGGTAGGTGTAGATGTTAATAAAACAGAATGTGATGGGTAGCAAAATTAAATTGTTATTTTATGGAGAGATTTTGCGTCACTTCCAGCCGTAGCTGTATCCCTTCTAGCCACAACTCTGTCCACACCAACACAAATGAATTTCACATGCGATTTGTCTGTTCAGACCAATGCGAAAAAATGGTAGATGGGGCTGAATGAACATGCAGTTTCAGTCTCTGACAGTAGGTGGCGCTTAAAGAATAACAGAAATACAGCGTTATGGAAAGCGGTATAATGTGTTATTTGCGCATCAAGATACCCTATTTTTTTTTAAATTACTATCCTTATATTTGTCTCAGTATTTCCCCCGCTTGTCAAAAAGGAGAAACTGAGTCAAACAGCATTCAGATTTTAAATTTTTTTATTTGCTATGATGTTCGCAATTCTACAAATAAGACATCCATAACGTAAAAATATGTAATCTACTTCACTTTAATACAATGCTGAAATCCCATATATTTAAAGACTGCGTTTTTTTTAGTTCAGCTAAAAGGCTAATCAGTCTTCTGTTGATCACACATCTTGACGCATGATACAGATTTGCAGTTCACCAAACATTGGAACGTAGCGAAATGCAGTTCACAAGCATGCAGTTCCTGTTCACGCCCACTGACGTACAGGTTTAGGGGTTGACCGTTATGCTTAACTTTTTTTTTTTTTTTACCGTACAAATCATATTGTATGAATTTATACAAAAACGGCAGATCTTAAAAGTATGCTTTCTCATGAGACTGAATTGGGTGACGACATTGGGAAAACGTAACTTTATTTGGCAATTTCGTATTAATTTGTTCAATGTGAAACATTCAAAAACATACGATTTTTAGAAAAAAGTAAGCAGAAAGGTATGAAAATGTACGAATGACATTGTACGAATTAGATTGCACTGATTTTTCACAATGGTGTTATATGGACCTAGTCTCAGCCTCAGACGTCACGCCCACGGACCGTTGGCTGAACATCTGATGCATAAGGCACACAAAAGTGGAAACTCTTTAGGAGTTTCGAAGTCGTCATCGGATTGGTTGAATTATACAGGATTTCCGGGAGACGTGTGTGTCGCGTTCTTTAACGTTCCGCCTGGAAACAAAGATGCCGTGGCGCCAAACCCCAACTGTGACGACGAGTGCTTATCAGGATCAAATAAACGCTGCATTCTCAAAAGTATGTGAAATATTTCAAGTTCGCGGCATAGAATCTTTAAAATACATCCGAGAGTTTTACACACCTGTCTGTTATTGTGGCGACATTTCCACGCCCCGAAACGTGACGCTGAACGAAACGAACTGTGATTGGTTGTTTGACATGTCGGTTAAACGGCCTCATGGGCGGGCCTCGGCCAATGAAAGCTGCCATGGATTCCAGACCTTCAGCCGTCAGTCAGAAGGTCTGGCTACGCGAGACTAATATGGACCAGTATGGAGTTGGTTTCAGTTGCCATTTGAACGCTGGGCTTCCTGAATGTCTTTCCGCGTCGGTTTAGTGTTTAAAGCTTTCAGCTCGGCCTGCACCTCAGCTTAAGCGTTTCATTAGCATTGATTTAACTACTGCAAGAAAGACCCCACACCTTTCTGCCAAACACACACACACACACACACACAAGATGCATTAGGCACCACACTGTTCCTGTGCCAAGAAAAAGGAGTTTTGTATGTGTGCATATGACCCGTGCAGGGGAAAAGCCCCAGAAGAAGAGAAACAAGAAGAGCTGCATATAGTCACACACACATGGATCAATCCGCACACACACTCCGTAAATCACACATAGAATTGCCCGGGCTCCTTAGGGCCTGAAGTCACTAACGGGCCCCAGAGCTGCTGCCTACCAGGACGCCATTACAGGGAGAGGTGGTCCACAAGTACACAAACAGGTGGTCTACCATGGTGGTCTCTCTCTCTCACACACACAGGCACATTATTTCACTACTGCTCAAGACCTAGGAAGACTTTCAGTTTGAAGAGATCAAAGGAAGGGTAAACAGGTAGAGTAAGAGAATATCCTAATAATAGACAGATATAGGTGATTGGTTAGATCAATTAGGCTAACAATTATCTGCATTATCTTTGTTTAAATTTCAAAATCAACTGACATCTTTGTCCACGTTTTTAATATTTAAGTGAATTAAAGAAATAGTTCACTCAAAAATGAAAAGTCTGCTATTCGTTTAATAATCTTCATATTATTTCAAACATGTATGACATACTTTCTTCTGTGGAACATAAAAGAAGATATTCTGAAGAATGTTGGTAATCAAAACATTTTGGTTACCATCGACAAAAAAAAAAATGTTTGTTTAAAAATGTATGTTTCACTGAAGTAAGAAAGTCAAACAAGTTTGAAAATATGCTGTATTACATATATATCTGCATATCAATATTATATTACGGTCATTTTGGTCACCTTGCTCTCTAGATATTGGTACTGGCCATTAAAAATTATTAAAACTATTACTTTTACAACTATTAAAAAATTCTATAGATTACCAGCAAAATATGCATTTTGAACATGACAAGCAGTGTGATTTATTGATGCAGAGATATTAAAATTCTGCTTGATAACAATACAGCGATAATTATTTGCATGTTATGGCTGATAACTGAAATTGACTATTACAATTTTATATTATTTTGTTTAAATAATAACAAAAATAAACAAACCATTTCAAAAGCTACAAGTGAATGAACAACTTCATAACTTTCAGTAGTAATATGGATTTTTAGTTTGGGTTTTGCATAAGATTAACAGTTTTATTGTGTGAATGACTGTTAGATGACACCAAAGGTAATCTAAATGCAAAAACTGTTTTTATACAGTCTATGTGCAAAAATAATAAGCATGCAAAATTTAATTTCCAATACTGACACATACATTTAAAAATCCCAG